ATAAAAAATAAACTGTTAAACAACAGCTGAAACAACAACAACAAAGTTATAACAACAACAACAGCGACGACGACAACAACAACGAAATCGCCAACATTAACCACAACATCGCTAACGACATCAATAGTTAACAACAACAACAACAACAACAACTACTACTACTACTACTACTACTACTACTACTACTACTACTACTACTACTACTACTACTATTACTACTACTACTACTACACAAACATCAGCAAATCAACGACAACAGTAATAGACTACATCAACAACATCTACAACAACAACAACAAAAACAACAACAACAACATCGATAATAACATTAAAACACATCAACGAACTTTTCACATACACACACTTTGACAAAACTTCTCAGAGGATAAAAACCGTCAGTAAGTATAAAGCACCCCTTTGGTTCGTGCCTAGACTGAAGTCATAACTATAGCCCATACACTCCCGAAAAAATTTTCACCGCTAAGAATACTAATAAGTAATCAATACAATTTTATTCTGCTAGTAAAGTATTTAGTTGTAATTGGCGATCTTGAAATTAGTATTTTAGTATTGTTAAAAAATAGTTAGAGCTACTTATTGGTGCCGCTTATAATTCTACTACTGCTGCTGCTACTACTACTACTACTAGTATTATTACTACAGTTAATACTACTACTACTACTACTACTACACTACTACTACACTACTACTACTACTAGTACTTTTTAATAGTAGTGATAATAGTAATCACAATCAAAATAATAATAATTATTATTAATATTATACAAGTTACCTTATCGTTAATTTCATTGGGTCTCACTTCGGTCTACACAGAACCTTAATAACATTCATAATAATAATAATAAAAATCCTAATTATAATATTAATAACGATATATAATAATAATAATAGTTACAGTGAAGAATCATAGTAATAATAAAAATAAAGTTATAATTTTCGTTAATTTCCGAACGTTCATTCATCATTTGATTGAGTTGGCTACTTAATTAGTCAATAAATTAATTAATTAATAAACAATAATTATTGATAATAATAACAAAAAGTAACATTTATTGTTATTATTTCACTATAATATGTATATATATGTATAGATTTATATTGTTATCACATAAATTAAACTCTTAAAAATAGCAATTATTGCCTGACATAATTCATTTATAATTAAAATTATTCTATAATATTAATATAATAAAAATTAATAAAAAAATACTACTACTACTTTTCTTGACCCTAATAAGAATAATTATAAAAGCAAGAATAATAATAATAATATTAATAATTACAAAGTGAAGATGGATCAGCTTAACTCGCCCAACCCCAATTCGACTGATGACGTTAATCCAGGGTTCGTCATTATTATTATTATTATTATTGTTGTTGTTGTTGTTGTTGTTGTTGTTGTTGTTGTTGTTAAGAACCTACTTAATTTATTTTCTGATTAGTTGAATTTTTTAGATTTGTCAACACTAACTTATGTTATGAAGGTGTGATTGTGATTGAACGTAATAGTAATATGTAATTGAAGGTATGTAAATGTTATTGCTTTGCCAACATACTAACAAATCTGCCATTAACTTCTAACAATGTCTAACACTACGGACAATGACTACAAAACTTGGAATATATTTTGTCTAGTTGGTTGTGTTGGATGATCTCATTAGGAGCTCGATCACAATCGTTGTCTCTTAT